AGTTTCCAAAGAACAGTTTTTTTAAAAAAAAGATTTCTCTTGTACAGCTTTTCCCCTTTCATTTTGGCGCTGATCTCTTTGTTGATTTTTTGTCCCCTTGTCTATTTGTAACAGTGGGATATTGAGGTCTCCCATTACAATTATATTAGTGCTTATTTGATTTTTCATGCCCTTTAATATTTGTTTTATATACTTGGGTGTGCTGGTATTTATTGCATGTGTATTTATCATTCTTATCACTTCCTCTTGGATTGTTCCCGTAACAAGTATGTAGTGACCTTTTTTGTTTCTTTTGATCAGTCGTGGCTTGAAATTCACTTTGTCTGCAAATAGAATAGCTATCTCTGCCTTTTTTCTGGGTTCCTGTCACATGGAATATTGTTTTCTATTTGACTTTTAGTCTGTGAATCTCTTTTTGAGTTAAATATGATTCCTATATGCAGCATATACTTGGATCTTGTTTCTTGATCCATCCTACAAATCTGTTTCTTTTGATTGGTGAATTGAGACCATTTGTATTTATGATTATAACTGATATGTACTGATGTATCCTTTTCATATTATTTTCCTGTTGTTGGTTCCCTGTCTTTCCTCTCTGTTTAATTGCTTGCCTTGCCTGGTGGGTTCTTTCTGCTGGGACTCATGAATTTGTTGTCTTTGATGTCTTTTTCTAGAATATCCTTCAGAACTTTTTAGAGTGCAGGTTCAGTGATCATGAATTTCTCCAGTGTTCTTTTCATTGAAGTATCTTATTTCTCCATCAATTTTGAAAGATAATTTTGCTGGGTACATTAATCTGGGTCAGAGGTTGTTTTCTTTTAGGGCTTGAAATACTGTACTTCATGTTCACTTTGACTTAAAGGTTTGGGTTGAGAAGTCTACTGTGATTCTGATGGGGTTTCCTTTATCAGTGATGTTTCTTTTCTGTACTAGCTTTTCATATTCTAGTGTTGAATTTCTGTAATCTTGATTGTTATATGCCTTGGTGTAGTTTTCTGATCCTGGCTAATTGAGGTTCTGTGTGCCACTCTTACTGTATGTCAAATTCTTTTTCCATGCTTGGGAAGTTTTCTGTCATTACTTCTGTGAAAGGTATTTTTATGTCCTTTGTGCTATCTTCTGATTTTTTTGTTGACTTCAAACAATCTTATGTTATTTCTGTTTGTGTCATGTAACAGTTGTTGAACTGATCTTTCATGGGCTTTTGCTGTTTTTAAGGTCTTTGATGATCAGTAACCACTAGCCTATCTTTTAGATCTGATATTCCATCCTCACAATGGTTTGATTCTACTGCATATACTTTCAATAGTATTCTTAATCTCTTGGATATCTATTTGAATCTGTTTCATGGATTCCAGTTCTTTCCTATGTTGGGCATTCATGATTTCTATCACATTCCTAAGCTCCTCTATTCTTTTTATCTGTATCTACTCTACTCTAGACTCACTAATTGTGCTCTTCATTATAGTTATCATCTCTTTAATTATCTGTGAAATTATGTCTGATTTGTCTTTTTCCTAGAGTCTCACTGATGTGTTTTATTCCACTGCTATAATTTCAGAGTGTAAAGCTGGATGGCTTTTGATTTCTTCTACCTCAAAGTCATTTGGATTGGCCTTGGGCAAATTGGAGGCCTAAGGGTGCATCTTTCTTCCATGTCTTCTCATTTTATTTTTTTAATTGTTTTCTGAGTTGGTGCTTAATTCTTATGGTAGGTAGCTTTAATACTAGGATAGTGATCATCATATGAAATGACTCCATTTCAGAGATGTCTTCTGGGTATAGCCGGATTTTGGCCTTTGAATCTATCCCAAGATCATGGCTCTTCAATTTATTAGAATGGAGAAGTTACTGCCTATTTGGCCTAGTACCCAGTTCTTTGGTACTAGACTATGGTATTATTTATGACCCCCAGACAATCTCTGTATTAGCATACAAGGAAAAACAACTGATCACAACACCTGTGTGACCTTGGCTAAAGTAGTACAATCAGTAATAACAGTAACATCAAGAATAGCATAAAAAATGAACAACTGTGGTAACTGTTAATTTGCCACCTTTGACTATAGGTACAAAATTTATTGTTATATAACAAAATCTAAAACTAATCAGAAAATTATATACATTAAATATCCCCTCAATAGAATGATTTAACCCTCAGGGGAGAGAATTTAAAAGAGATAAGAGGAAAAAATAGAGAAGTAAAAGAAGAGAAAGAAATTAGAACCAAGGCTGAAGGACAAAGCAAGACTACCCAAGCACTGGGAAATGGGTGAAGAAGACAAGAGGGAAAGAGAGAAGGAAAAAACAAAAACAAGAACTAAACAACAAAAATACTAAAAACAATTATTCATGCTTATGAAAAAACAATCAAGAAAAGAGTAAAAAAAGTATTTAAAAAGGGGAAAAAAGAGATTTATCAGTGGTTTCACTCATGTAATTATCTTCTCAGTGGTTTCACTCATGTGGTTATCTACTGGGGTTTACACCTTTCACTTCACACTCACAGCTTCATACACTCCCTCTCAGGGGTGCCCTGCCTGGCCTCCCTGGCCTTCAGAAAATGAGGAGGAAGCCTCTTTAAACTCAGTACTCTTGCATTCTGCATGCACTTAAAACCAGCGCCACGTGGATGATGCCAAGGTCTGCTGCCACCTGGAGGAGTAGCCAAGCTTTCCCCTCTCTTGGCCATTGGGGTCAAGTGCCTGGATCACTGAGCACTCTCAATTCAATTCTGAGGAGCAAATTCTGTATGCTACCACCATTCTGGAACCTGGTACAGCCGCTGCCACCATTCTGGAACATGGTGTTCTGTGGCTTTCTTTGCAAAGCAAAATCTTTCACCTTTGCAGTTTTAAGACTGCAAAGGGTGGAGACTTGCTCCTTCTTGTGATGCCCCCAGGCGATCTTTTGTGGTCTCCTATTGTTCTCAGCAATGGAGATCTTCTCAGCTCTATCTTTGCAGTCCCATAGCTTTACTGGAGCTTCCTTTCTGGCCAGACTCACAACATTTGAAATCATCCTGCGTGGCTCTTTGCTCTTGATTCTCAACATAAATCTGGCTAAAAGCCCCCAACAATAGCCATGCCACTCTCCCAATATTCAACTGCTTTGAAATTTCTTCTGCAAGATGAATCAGTCCACTGACCTTAATCTCAGTCTTAAGCAAAGTCTCCGGACATGAGTAAAATGCAGACAAACTTTCTGCCAAGCCATAACACACATCATCTGGAGTCCAACAACCAATGCAGTCCTTCTTCCCAGCAGAAACCTCCCAAACTCTGTCTTTACTAGCAGGATTTTTATCAGTCTTCTGGTCTTCTGAGTTGTGACCAGAATCTCCCAGACAGAACAGCTGAAGGTGTTCTAGCGCTTCTCTTTCAGAGGACGTCTTCAAACCTTTCCAAACTCTTCCCACAAGCCATTTCCAAAGGCTCTTGAACCACATGGTCAGGTACAGTCACAGCAAGGACCCCACTTCTCTAGTACCAAATTCTATCTTAGTTACTTTTCTCTCATTGCTGAGACAAAATACCCAGCGCCCAACATTAAGGAAGAAAAGGTTTATTCAGCTCACAGTTTGTGGAGTTTTCAGTCCATACTTGGCTGGCTCCAAGGCAGAGTGGCATATGGCAGAGGGCAGCAGAACACAGCAAAGCAGCAAGAGCAAAAGCAGGCGGGGGAGGACTTACCTCTTTTCCTCCCTTATATTGTAAACAGGCTACTCCCACCTAAGGGGCATGTAGCGCTTACCTAATCTCCATGCCCTCCTCTTGCACAGGCTCAGGATGAATACAAAGTAAGCACCCTGGCTCCCTGCTGAGTCACTTAGCCAAACCTCTAGACTCCTCAGGTTGACACAATGTATCAACCATAACAAACAGCCACAGTTTAAATGAGGAGAGGTTGATTTTGGTGCCTACAATTTTAGTCCATGGTTGGCAGGCTCTAAAGCAGAAATGGCATGGTGGAAGGCTCTGGCAGAAGAAAGCTGTTTATGTCAAGGTAGCCAGGAAATAGAGAAGGAAGGAGCCGGACAGGAAGATACACCCTTCCAGGTCATGCTCCCAGGGACCCACCTCTTCCATCCTGACCCCACCTACTTAACAGCACCCTCAGCCACTGAATCATTAGTGCATGAATCTACTGATGAGTACAGTGTCCCATGATACAGTCACCTTTGGAAAGCTCTGCCTCTGAGCGTATGAGCGTTTTGCAGAACATTCTGGGTTTAAACCACGATACTTTTCCCTTGAATTCCTACATGGTATGATCAGTGCCCGCTTCAACCTGGTCTCTCTCCACCCTCCTCTTCAATACTTCAAGTCTCAGAATTCTTTCGGTTTGTGAAAATGCCTCTATTGTTACAGAACACCAACCCATCCCCCCTCAGAAACCTTATCTGAATGCTCTGAACCCCAGGTGCTGCAATGGGCTGTGTTTAACATTGTGCTGACCAATGTTGTTATATATATACATTTGGGTAGTTTATTGAATTTTTGTCTAGCTTTTCCAGAGGACATGTAACTCTAAGAGAATGAGAACCATGTGATTTTGTCCATCTTTGAGCTCCAGGACCTCACAGTGGTGTGACTGGTAGTAAGCATTTAACACATTCTCAAAGAAGCAAGAAGACAAGTAAGTGAATTTTAGGAGCCAAGCCAGTTATGTTCTTTGATACTTTTTCCTAAAACAGGGGTTGGTACTCAGAGTCTCATTTAGATTTCCATTTTGATTTCTACATAAAGTTTTACAGAAACTCAGCTACTCCCATTTACTTTTATATTTTCTGTGGCTACTCTCTCACTCTACAAGCAGAGGTGGGTGGTAGCAAAACAAAAAAATTCTGTGGGACAGAATAACCCACAAAATGGTTACTATTGGGCCCTTTACAAAAAATTTGCCAACCCTTACTCTAGGGTTGTATGAGCTCAAACAAAATAATGGGGTTCTGAGAATGAAATAATATTTTGCAAGTAAATCTATGCTTCTTTTGTTAGGCATTTGAAATGATAATTAATCCTGGAGATAACATCCTCCTAAATGAACCAGTTTATTCAGGAACACTTCAAGCTGTAAGTACACATCGTTCCAAAGTAACAATTCTTACAGTAATTAGATGAAAGCACTGCAGCTTTAGTATTGTCTGTCCACTGAAAAATAAAGTAGCAGCTTTAATCTGTAAGCAAGAGAATCTTAAAAATGATATATGCAGGATGTGTTCATGTGCCCTCTGCTTCATACATTTCTCTTTTAAAAGCTAACTGCAGCTATGAAAATGAAAGACTAAATTCGTTGTTTAATATCCTTGGGTTGGTAGAAATCTAGGATGGAATCTATAAGGAAGTAATCACAACTCAGATAAGAACTTTCTAACCATAAGCTTCACCCACCTAACTGCTCAGGAGGTGAAACATTGCCCATGGCTTCAGATCCCCAAAGTTACCACCAGTTCTAATTCTAACTATTGGATTGATTCAGTTGGAAGAGGCTGTGTGACATCATGTGATAGATGATGAATCTCAGTGGCTTACACCAGTAACATGTTAGCCACAAGACCTCTGCTCACTTCTGTGGCATCTTCATTCCAGACCCCAAGTTGACAGAAGCAACCTCTGCACAGAACACAACCAATCTTAGGGCAAAGGAAAAAGAGACATAGAAAAGCCCTGTAGGATTTTTAAAGCTTTTTGAAGGAACAGATGTCCCTTTTGCTCACAGTTTATTCACCAAAATAACAATATGGCCAAACAAGACATACGTGGAGCAGGAGAATATAATCAATAGCCAGGATGGCTGTGCATACTTGTAAACCTAGCACTCTGGGAGGCTGAGGCATAAGGATTCCAAATTCAAATCCTATATGGTCACCTTAGTGATACCCTGTCCAAAAATAAAAACTATAAAAAAGGGGTTGGAGATGCAGCTCAGTGTAAAAACCTTGGGTTCAATTCCCAGTACAAAAAAATAAGTATTATCTTTTCCATAGAGTCTACCCCAGGAGGACAACACACAATGTCAACCTGAGGAGCTTGGAGTTCAGGGCAGATTTATGCTTTCGGTGATATAAATAGTAACACTGCTACCCAGTATTTCTTTAAATTACACTTACAGTTTGTATTCATTATCTGATGCCTGAACGTTTTTTATTTTTGTGTTTTGTTCTCAGCTCCACCCACTTGGCTGCAACATTATTAATGTTCCCAGTGATGAGTTCGGGATTATCCCAGATGCCCTCAAAGAAATCCTTTCCAAATGGGAACCCGAGGATGCCAAGGACCCCAGCAAAAACACCCCCAAGTTTCTCTATACTGTCCCTAATGGCAACAACCCCACTGGAAACTCACTGACTGGGGACCGCAAGAAGGAGATCTACAAGGTATTCCAAAGACTGTGTTCCATGTGGGGTTCCTGCTTCTGCCTTTTTCATTTAAATGAGTCTTGTCACGTTCTTTTCTTATTACCCTCTTGCTTTCAAGGAAGAGAATTTTTAATAAAAGAAGCTCATCGTTGCTAAAGGACCTAATAAATTTCTATCTAGTAAACTAGTGCTACTTCTGTTTCTGAGAACTTTTTACTTTTCCCTGAAGTAGTATTTTAGTACAAATAAAATAGCATTCTTACTATGGTGTTAAACTTTATGAAATTGTGAATATTTAACCTCAAGTTTGATTTTCATTATACTTACGTTTTTCATTTGTCTCTTCTGCATCTTTTACCTTTTCATTTCACAATTCAAAGAATTCTTGAAAAATAAGAGGCATGTGCTTCATCTCAGAAATCTCTTTTAGATACCCATAAAGCTTGGCTTGTCACTGTAAACATTTTCTCAAAGTATGAAATGTATATTGAGCTATACAAAATTCTTTGTAAAGAGCAATATGCCTTTTGTAAAATATGTTTTTCTAAACCTGAACTGTGATCCTTAACCTTTTCCTACAAATACCTTTTTAAAATAAGTAACAAACTCATGTTAAACTATGTAAAACTGAATCACTTAATGGATCATAAGCAATATTTTACCTGTCAACCAGTTCTTCCAGGTGAATTAAGTTCAGAATATTCCTCTACTATTTGTTACACTCCTGGGTGCTCTCCTCAGCTCCCTGCTCTATTTACAGACTCCCCTGAGACAGCCTCATCCACTTCCCTGGGAATACCCCATTCTGCACACAAGAAACCCGCACTGCCCAGCACCACCTCTTCCCTGAACACCACTCTTCTGTGTCCAGCTTTAAGCTTCATGTCACTGCGTGGATGGCTCATAGCATTTCAAACTCCACCTGGCCCAAATGGAACAGCTGGTTCCCCCACCACCACCCAAATTGAATGCACAACCCCTGTGCATACTGTGTCTCTATAAGTGACCCCTATAAACTCCATGAACAGTCGCCCTTCATTTCTCTTTCCCTGTTCTACTTTCGACACACACCACCAGATTCATCCAAATCAGGATTTATCCAAATCCAACCATTTCCCCCCCAACATTCATAGCCCCATCCTCCAAGTCACCACCTGCCCTCATAGATGGGTGACTTGGTCACTCACCCTTGCTGTGTCCCACTCTTGGTCTCTAACTGCTCATTATTTGCAGAGAAGGCAGTCATGGCCCCTGCTCCATGGAAAATATAAAAAGCCAGGCTCAGAGTTCTCCTGTTCACAGTTCTGCATGACTTCCCCTTGCTGTGAGGTCCCGATTCCGTGTCTGCCTTTGCAGACTGCAGGATACAGTCATTTCTACCTGAAGACTTCTCCCTCATCATCCGTGCTGCAGCCCTAGCTGCATGCCACCCCGGCCATTCTGTTCCTTCGACATGCCACGCCTCTCACTCACCCCCAGAATCTTTACTGTCACTCATCCTTCAGTGTGGAGTCTTTACCCTGATATCCGCACAACTTATTCCTCTCATCCTGTGCCGTAGCATTCATTACCTTGTCAGGAAGTGCTTCTCAGTGATTCCACGGGCAGAAACACCCTGTTACTCTTTCTAAAGTGTGATGTTATGTGATGCTCTGGAGAGAAGTTAAATCCTGCCCCATATACTGTTTTTCAGTTCATTATCCACGGGCTCATGCACATTCTGTCTTTCTCCGCTCAGATGTAAGTTTCATGAGAATGGAAGTTCATAGTGCCTCCTTCATCTGTATCCTCACTGTCTGGCATGACAGACATCAGTAGAGTCTTGAATGTTGAAAGGAGTATAAAGAATTATGATTCTGGGTGATTTTCAGTTTAGATAGCTCTTCTCAAATATATTATTTTAATATTTTAGCTTGCAAGCAAATATGATTTCCTCATCATAGAAGATGATCCTTACTATTTTCTCCAGTTCAACAAGGTAAGTGATGATGTAACTTTACCTCACTATTAAGAGATAAGTTGTTGTAAAATATTACACTGTATTTGAGATTAACCACATTGGGCTGGGGATTTAGCTCAGTGGCAAAAGCGCCTGCCTGGCAAGTGCAAGGTTGTGAGTTCGGTTCCCGGTACCGGAGAAAAACAAAAAAAAAAAACGAGATTAGCCAGATTGGTGACACAGACTGGTGGATATATTATTACTTTGAAATTAAATGAACTATTCCTTATTAATTTACTACCCCTTTAATTTATAGTCTTCCAATTTTATCATAGAAGTAGTAATTTTCTTTCTTGGTGTGGCAACCCCTTTTAAAAATTATTTAAGTTCAGAATAATAACTAGCCCCCAAACAATGAGTGTAGGCAAACCAAACAAGTCAGGCCAGTGGTCTTGAACTCCACATCGTAGTTCACAGCTCCTTTAATATCATCCCAGGGATGTTGAAGGAGTTTTTACCTTGGGTGTGCGCTTCAATCTTGTGATGGTGGCTGATGAGGATGTCTCAGCAGGATTGAGAAGCTGTGTTCATGCAGAAGGAGATGCTCAGTTAATGCTGTTCATTTATGGACACAGGGGAACGCATTACAGGCAGCATGCCACAGATTCCCCAGCTGTGTCCTTTACACCTGGATCTTACCTAAGTAACGGGCTTTTAGGTGCACCCTCGCTATATACGTATGCTACCTTTCATGACTACTGGATCCTAATGGGCAGTAGAGGTGTACAGACTACCAATGACTGTTTCATCAACATCTAACAATTTCTTTACTCCCAGAACGGCAGAGAACATATAATCGAACTGGGTCACCTATTTAAGAAACCAGGAACAAGGGGCTGGGGATACAGCTCAGTGGCACAGCACCTGCCTAGCAAGCACAAGGTCTTGAGTTCAATTCCCAGTTTAAAAAAAAAAAAAAAAAAAAAAACAAGAAACCAAGAAGAAACAGATATTCTTGATTTCTCTGCATTGTTCGACTGAACAAAATTTTGTACATTCTTGATCAACATTCCTTAAACAGTTGAATGCTGCTGACGCTCTTCATTTTGATCCTGTCCAAACTAGGTTTGCTTGAGTCCTTCCTCTAAATCAGTTAATCCTGAACTTTACCCCCTAAAGCAAAGTGTTTTTTCTAAATACACAGTAATGGTGTCTTGAGCAAATAAGGGAGGCCTTGTGTTTGACCAGGAATCTGTGAGGACAGCAGATGCTAGTAAAAGAACACGCATGTCAGTTTTATTCCACGTAAAAAGGTTGAGACAAAGGCAAAACATCCTTGGGGTATTGTGTTCCAAATCCACACCTTCCTGCACTCTACAGAGCAACCCTTCAACTACTAACACTGTTCACAAAACAACATAATTTTCTTCCCATGTTAAGCCCAGGGCACCAACATTTCTCTCCATGGATGTGGATGGGCGTGTCATCAGAGCTGATTCCTTTTCAAAAATCCTCTCCTCAGGGTAAGGTCCATGTCTCGAACTTGAGGCTAGTCTCAGTATCTTTTAATCCAAACAGTTCTCATTTCAGAAGCTTGAAGCTGGGCTTGGTAGTGCATGCCTGTAATCCCAGTACTCTGAGAGGCTGAGGCAGGAGAATCACAAATTGGATCCCAGCCCGATCAACTTAGTCAGTTAATGAGACCCTGTTTTAAAATAAAACATTTAAAAAGGGCTGGGGATGCACCTCAGTGCAAAGGCATGGGTTCAAACCTCATTACTAAAAAAGCTTGAATTTTGCCTTAAAACAGTTTACCAATTATTAACATTAATGAGCCTCTTCTCTATTAATCTCCAGTAATCAAAGATGGGCACACTTAGTGGGACTAGTCAGGGTTTATGTATCACTATGAAAGAACACATTTGGAAATACTTCCACTTGCATTATTCCATAAATGTACACTTACATTTTGTATCTGAAACAAGTAGTTGGTTTATTAGAATGTTTCAGTTGTCTAGATGCACTCGTCCCAGGTCAAAACGGACCTCATAATGAAGTTAGTTGAGTGACACATTAATATGGATGGGTTTTGAGTCTTTTCTCTTTTTGTGTAGGTTGAGAGTAGGATTTATAACTGGCCCAAAACCCTTAATAGAGAAAATTGTTTTACACACACAAGTCTCATCAATGCACGCCTGCAGTTTCGCACAGGTAAGCCAAATTCATGAAATGATACTTTTAAATAATCAAATCAGTATAGGAAGTAGATGGTGACAGGTAAGATTCAGTTAAGGTGGCAAGAAAGAAAACTCACAGTGCTGAATCTCCAGTTTCAATACAGGCTGAGTGAGAAGACCAGGTCCCACAGATGTTTGCTCTGAAAAACAAATGAATTGTGTTAGCATTGTGTTCTTTTGCAGCGTAACCCAAACTCCTTGAGAGTCAAGGTATTTTCCTCATCTGTGTCCCTGTGAGAACACCGCAGTGTCACTTTGTGGAACTGAGTTTGGGGAAGCAGTGCTGACTTTGTCTTTATTGTCTTGGACCCTATAGAGAGAGCAGGGACTCTGAGTGAGTCTGTGCAGGGACTCACGCTGAGCCTTCACTGCGCATGCGCAGCCACAACTACAGACAGGAGTTGCCATGCATTGTAACCACGGTTCCCTGAGAATCAGACCCAGCTGGAAAGCAGGTTCTCACGTGATTTTAGAAGACTCAGCCCCTAAATGAGCCCTGGTTTTACTCCAACATGTATCACAGGGCTCATTTTCAGGGCATTTCTCCTGTGAAAGTATACTGGAACTTGTATTTCCAGGTAGGTCTTATTTTGGGGGAAACTGGGAATTAAAATAAATTAACCTTGAAGACTGTGTAAATTTCCTCACAAGCTTTGAACAATTGTTGGATTTGGAAATTATTATGATCTTTGGAATTGGATCTTAAGGATAGAAGTGCTATATCAGGACTAGACATGAATAGAAAAGTTTGCCCTCATAGGACATTTCATGGTGTCCATTCCATAACGTGTAGCTGTCCCCAGGTTTTACCAAATTAGGGGCTTTTTCTATATTTTTAATATCTGTTGTCAACAACTGTTCAGTATCAGTTTGTACCATTTAGTGCTTCTATTTTAAATAGAAAATCTCCAAATATAATGTAGAACTTCAGATATTTACCATTTCCACTTTAGGCTGAGGATATCACTCAGCGATATATCATCAATATACAAGGCAATGGGTTTGATTCTCACACGGACCAGAGAGATGGGAAGGAAAAAGACTGCTCCATATTCTCTTATGACTACAGAGGCAGTATAGTCTTCCAACAAGTACCTTGGATGGAGTGCTCACTTCAAATCTGAGCTCTATGATTAGCTGTTGGACGTCAAAAGAAATTAACACTGTGCCTTGATTCCCTTATTAGTAAAATAGAAATAACCTGCCTAATAATTAAGTTATGGAAAGCATAGATTTGCCAAAATCTATTAATGTGTTTCCGTAGTGCCTGGTAAATCATGAGTTCCATGGAAATATTTATTATTATTACTGTTGTTGTCATGCTGATTAACATTTCTTATAAATCACTGACTGGTATAAGCTAGATTCAGCATATTTTATCTTTTGCAGTGGTAGTCTGGGGTGATTTGCACCTACATTTGGCAAACACAGACACTTTTAGGAAATGAACTGTGACAGAGTTCCTATTCTTCCATTTAGGTCATGGTATTACAGCTTCTACAGCACTGGGGAGAAGAAGGCTTCCTGGCTCATGTGGACAGGTATCAGATCATCTGTTAAAATGTTTATGAGCAAAATAGGAGCCCCACAAACCAAGCACACAGCACCAGAGTGTTCGTTTACTAGTCTTCCTTCCTGAATATCTTAAGCTAGATGATAGGAACAGTTTATAAGAGGTCAAAAGCCTGTTCATTTTAGTAGCTTTTCCACCACCTAGAAAGTCTTTTCAGGAGCATCCAAGGTATGCCCTGAAAGCAGTGTCAAGGCAGCCCCAAGGTAACCTGAAGTGCCCTCCAGGTTAGGATGCATACACATAAACATTCTATTGAATAATTCATTCACCGTGAGGGACACATGACACGGGAAGTGACTAATGCACTGATGAGTAAGATCGTAATCTACCCAAGGAGTCAATAAATGGTGCAAGTTATGAAGTGCTGGGTTGGGTAAGTGTGGTGCCTCCTAGGCCATGTAGAAATAAGGAGAAAGGGGCTGCCCTCATTCCCAGAGCACAGATCCACCGTTCCAGTGGTATCGTCTGTGACCCTAAGGATTCTCCTGCCTTACAGTTGGCAATCATTATTTGAGACAACTAAACAATGATCAATCCTTCTATTTCTAAGTTCTGTGTCCTCTTTTGCCCTTTTTATTTTTATTTTTAATTAGTCCACAATAAAAGACCAAATACACTTGTAGGAGCCAGCCAACAAGCTTTGTACCTAACCAGAGGGTGACAAGGATGAAAAACAAAGGGACAAAGAATTAGGTTTAAATGTGGGGGCCGAGGGGTCTGTCTCTCTTTGACAAAGAGGTCCAAGTGACTGACTCACCCTGCCTTTATTCACTCAGACATCGGAGCAATTGGAGTAACACAGGATTGATATACCTCCCTGATATATATCCAGGGTACATGTCCAGGTAAACCACTGGATCTTACCTATATCAACTTTTCTCTAGAACCTGCAGCGTATCATCTTGCTTGAACATTGCCTTTCTCCTTAGTGCTCACCGAGGAGACCAAAAAGGCCTCAATCTTTTTATCTGGTCCCCCATAAGTGAAAATAGTAAAAGTTGATCATCAGATAAGTCAGTACAAATAGTCTCTTGCCTCCTCTCAAGTATTCAACATTTTAATCAAGAGAGAAAACACATTCTTGCAGCTTGGATTTCAGAACCCATTTTGTTTGTGCTGTCACTGTATAAATGAATGTTTGTCATTATTCTCTTCTTCCAGGGTTATTGATTTCTATAGGAACCAGAGGGACGCCATATTGGCAGCTGCAGAGAAGTGGTTAAGTGGTGAGTAAAGTGTACAGCAGTCCTTATGAGAAACAGGAACACCTATAAAAGTGGGTGATTGATATTGTATATTATTGACAGCCCTAGTGGGAAAGAAACACCAATCCTGGAGTATTCTTGAAAAGGAAATGTTTCTCTACAAAGGATTTCACAAGTAACATCCTACAAACCCCAGCACAGTCTACCTCTGTCTGTTATCTCTTGCAAAAATTTAACTGGGATGGGGGAAAAGGAGAAAAGAAAGAAAGAAGGAAGGAAAAGAAACATGTATATACATAAGATAAATAAGATAATTGTACTACTAATTTCTATTGGTTTATTGAAAGGAATAGTTAATGCTTAATCATTTGATCAATTTTACATGGCTATATCTGGTAATCTGAACAACTACATTGAAGATAACAATACATAATATAACAACCATTGTTAATTTCTTATCATCTTGTTTTGAAATTCTATATTTTTTTTTCTTATTTTTTGTTCTCTTTAACATAAAAAAATCAAGTACTCAATTAGGCAGCACATATACTAAAAATATTTTTAAAAATCAAATAGTCTAAAAGCTAAGCAGTAGTAGCTAACTTAAAGTTAAATAACATTCATCTTCAAACTTTTTATTTTTTTTTCAAGATTTTGCCCCAAGCATATATGATCTGCTTCTAACTAAGCTGCATGAACACAAATAATGCAGTCTAAAGTAGGTCTCTCGTTGCACATTCTTTCTCTTCTAGTCATTAACCACATTTATCTATCCAATATTAGGTATTGCTAATTTGATTCCAGGGTGTATTAGAATTACTTTTTATTATGGAAGACAGAAGATTTGTGTGGCTTTAACTATATTGTTTAAAATACCCATTATATAAACAATAACAAACCAAAAATGCCAGTTCCTTATCTGTTACACCTAATTCTCTATAAAGTCTTGGTAAATATTGAATTATTATCTCTTTGATAAGAGTACTCTTCCATCATTTTGCATAGTAATGATGAAGAAAAGGTTGTAACCAGAGAAGTTCTTTAAAATTATAATTAAAATCAAAATAAATATTCCTTCCTTTTGATTTCTCTAGCCTAATACTGAAGGAAACATAAAGCTTACAAATGCATATGGAATTTTTGAAGTTTAAGTTTTTCTTTCCACAATTAATTACATTCTGATAAAACTAATAGAGTGAACTGAAGCAGCCGCATTTGCCTTAGATACGCTTCTAATATCTGAAGGAGAGAAAGGCGCTATGTTTCTTGTTCTCCACTGAGACGGACTAGAGTTGTAACTGTTCACACAGAATCTATTCAGTCACCCTCCCTCCCTCTGACCACACAGTGACTCCTCGAACTAAATCTAGAGCATCAATTCCCAGGAGTCATAAATTACATTGTGAAAAATGTTATCACTGAAGGAACTTTTTAGGAAGTCCTAGTTTATAATCATTTCATGATGTCACAGAACAATATATTTGATATATTGATACATATTCTCTTTTGTGTGTAGGTTTGGCAGAATGGCATGTGCCTGTTGCTGGTATGTTTCTGTGGATTAAAATTAAGGGCATTTCTAACTCACGAAAACTGATTGAAGAAGAGGCCCTTAAGAAAGAGGTAAAGCTGGGAGGTGGGTGGGACACCTAAAGCAAAGTTACACTTTTATTTAAAGTAATTTTTTACTTGAATAAAAATGAATAGAGAAGCTTTGTATTATTGCCCATCACCAACTCAGAGTGTTCTAATATTAGGTGTGGTATCTCATTATTAAAATAGTAGTAAGTGTGAGGATTACAAAATTATTCACTTGGTCTAAATTAATGGAAACACAGTCATTCATCTCAGCCAATGATTAGCATTAGCATACTGCATGGGTTTGAATCCAGCTCTACCCACTACTGCACACATGTCTTTGGACAAGTTGCCCTCCCTGTGCTTCCTCTGTAGAGTAGAGGTAGTAAGGATCCCTCCCTGATAGGGGTGCTATGATGATTAAATGAGTCACATGTGTAAAGCACTTAGACTAACACCTGACACATAATAAGTGGTCCAAACTACTAACCTATTAGTATTACTCAATTAGTATTTGAAATGGAAAGATCTTTTCCTAATGACTAAAGTAAGCTATACTCATAGTAGGAAATTTGGAAACTGCACAAAAGCATAATGAAAATTTTTAAATAATCCATCATTTTACCACCCCAGTTTTTGATGATTTATGGTGCATTTTCTTGAAGAGCTTTTGTATATTCCAGATTTTCGGTAGCTCAGTTATTTTACATAGTTAATATTACATGAAAAGGATTATGTCCTGATTTTGCCACTTAAAATTAGCTCAAATAAGTTTGTCTGTCTGTGTGTCTGCTGTTTCTCCTTCTGTGATTTACTCATGAATCTACTTGAATTTCATTTGTGGGCTGATATTCTACTGTACTTTTTCATCCTCTTTGTTTATTCCATAACCCTATTGGATGTTCCTTTAGCTTTTCTAAAGGGTCTCCAACTTTATCACTACTACCTCAACCCAGATTTTGGTTTCCTTACAAAGAGGTTATTACCACTCTCTCTGATTAAAGGTTATTGTTTCTAGCTCATCCCAAAATTTTCTCTTATAATGAGAGAAGACTTTGGCTCATGTGGCCACACATAACTAAAAACAAGGTAAGAATACTGTGTGTGCAGCTCAGCGTCTGTGTGCGCTTAGTTTGCATGTGTGAGGTCCTGCATTGAATTGTCAGAGAGAAAGAGAAAAAGACTAGGGGTAGGGTGAGGAGGGAAGGAGAGAAGGAGGAGAAACAGGAAGTCAGTGATTCAGCCACAGTGGGCATCATGAAGAGCAATTGTTCTCCTACTCCATCTTCACACGCTCAGTTAACATGCATTCTTAGTCCTTCACTTTATGTATTATTTTTTACCTCTTCCCATTCTTTTAATACACCACTTTCCTCTCACCTCATGCCCCTTATATCTTTCTAAAATAGTGTTTCCCGCTTTTTGCTAGGCCAATGCCTACTCATCTTAAAGATTCCAGCTTAAAAATCACTGTCAAATTTGTTAACTGCAAATGCTGTCTCATTGAATCGTCTAATTAAATTAGATCATGATTTGTATTTATTGACATTTCTCTTCCTTTTGTAAGCTTCCTTTTGTACATCTCAGTGTTTCTTTTCAGTTTCTGGTCATCCTTTAAAAGTAAAGAAGGAATGGCATTTGCCAGTTTTTGTCCAGTTAACCTCGCTCGTTGAGGGGCACACAATGTTTCTATACACCAGGTTTTTCTTTTGTGAATGCTTAACTGCTTTTAAGTTTAGAACATCCTTCTCACTCTGAGGTTAGGTTTGCCTATGATTCAGTCATTCTTCAGAGGCAACATCACTTATCTTTCACAACCCCTCAGGTTTTACTGGTTCCCGGGAGCGCTTTCTACAAGGATAGCTCAGCTCATAGCCCTTACTTCAGAGCATGCTTCTCCATAGCCTCTGCAGAAAAGATGGATGAGGTGAGTACAGTGTTCTCTTCAGAGCAGCACCAGCCCTCCTTTCTGGGTTTTGGTGCATGTGTTAGACCTTTTAAGCTAAAACATTGCTTACTATCTTCTTAGGTTTCAAAAAACCAGATATTTATAGACTACTGTGAACTCCCTTGAAATATCCCCTTTTATTTTACTACTCGACCTCTGTAGATAAATGAGACTAAACCAGTTAAAGTTTCATTTTGGGGGGAATAACTTTTCAGGACCTACTGAACAGTGTGGAAGATTACCAACCTCTGTCCTTCCTTCACTGAATTAACATAAAGGAAGAGTACAGATTCCCAGTAGACTGCAGTTTCTCTCTCTGAGGAAGAAAAGCATCAGCAAAGTCAGTGTATTGGTCAGCTTTTCATCTCTGGAACCAAATACACATCTTAAAGGAAGAAAGCTCTATTTTTGCTCGCAGTTTCAAAAGATTTAGCAGGTAGTCAGCTGACTCCAAGGCAGAAACATGGTAGAAGAAGGTGCTCCCTTCCTGCTGGGCGGGAGCAGCACTGGAGATGAAGGGGCCAAGGAGCAGGTGTAGTCCCTCAGGTCCCACCTCAGGGTCCCATCTAGACACACCCAGCAGTGTGCTGTATTCATCCTCTGGGCAGCTCCCAAGCCAGTCAAATTGGCAGTTCAGTTTAACCACTGCACTCAAAAACAATAATGTTTTCATTCACAGTCCGGCATTAGCCAAACTAATAAGCAGCAAAGTAGGTTTGTGTCTAGATGTCCCACCAAAGCCTCATGCAAACATGGGGGGGTGGGCTTTTTTCTGAGGTGACTGAATCTAGAGTGGGTGACTGATTAATAGTGCAATGCTGGGATTAAGAGTGCTGGGATTATGGGTGGGTGATTGCTGGATCAGTCCATGGATTGAATTGGCACTGCCCTTGTCCTGGCAGACTGGATACAATATAAGGGAAAGAAAGAGGTTTGTCTTGCTCTTCCCTTGCTTGCTTTTGCCTTCTTCTGCTGCCATGAACTGTTTGCCCTCTGCTGTGTGCCACCCTGCCTTGGAGCCAGCCAGTTATGGACTGAAACCTCTACAAACCATGAGCCCAATAAAACTTTCTCCCTTTAACTTTGAGTGTATAGTATTTTGTCTCAGCAATGAGAAAAGTCTCTAAGACACTAAAGAACCTATGGACTATGCATCTGGAAATCCAAAAGGCAGAATTATAAATTAAACGGTACTATTTTCCTTTAGTAAAGTTTATTCTTATTTTGGGAGATGTTCCATTTTGGTGTGTTCTTTCTTTACTTGCTTTCTTATATGCTTAAATATGCTTCACACAAGTTCTCTCTGCTTTTGTGTGTGAACAGAGTCAGACAGTCAAAACTATATAGAATGCATTTGCAGGTGCAATATGACATGAAAATATAAAATAATTTGTGTTGTGGATGAAATATAAAATAATAATCATGAGAGTTATAAGAATCAAAAAATTCCTGGCAATCTCCTATGGCTCTATCTCTGTATTTTAGTAGACACCCATGGCATTCTGCCCAGTTAATATCAAACTCAACTTTTCATTGCCTATGTCAACCTTAGATGAACACAGATCGAATTTTTAAAGTTTTGATCAACTTTCCAAAATCACATTCTAATTTCATTAATAATTCTTATCTCTTTTCTATTTTAGGCCTTCCAGAGATTAGCCCAAGTTATAAAAGAATCTTTGTGAAGAAATCCAACTAACCGCAGTATACATGGATTTTTCAGATTAATTATTTCCACATTTTCTCTGTAGGAAACAATTATTGATGTTTGTCTTATGAAGCGATATCAAACATATCCTATATGCATCTGTAGTAGTTTAACTGGACAACTTTTTAAGTGCCTTTAAATCTATCAGATTGCAGAAATGTATTTGTAAGCCACTTAGGCTTGTCACTTTTTTAATCTGCAAAAAATTATTTTTATCTTAGATTTTACTGTAAAGAACTCTTAGGTGCCTTATAAGGTGCTGTAAATTTTCAGTGAAACTAATACTTTACATTATATTATTTTAAGAAAATAATTAAATTCGGGAAGCAGCCAGAGTGTTCGCAGAGTTTGGCGTTTCTAGACACTGATCCGTGGTGTGCGGAGGATGCCTCGTGGAAGCCAAAGCCGCACTTCCCGCGTGCCCTCTAAGGCCAGCCGGGCCCCTGAGATGCGGGCTGTGCCCTGGCCAGCGCCCAGACCAGCCCCAGCGGCCGGGGCCCCGGTGGTGGCCCCACCATCCGCTGTGGGCTCACTGCTGCTGCGCCCCGGCAGCCTGGTCTGATGGCCCAGATGGCCACCGCTGCAGCAGGCGTGGCTGTGGGCTCCGACGTGGGGCACACGCTGGGCCACGCCATCACTGGCGGCCTGGGCGAGGGAGGCAGTGGTGAGCCCGCCAGGCCTGACATCACTTACTAGGAGCCTCAGGGAGCCCAGCTGCAGCAGCGGGAGGCCCGGGGCCCCTGCTACTTTGAGATCAAGCAGTTTCTGGAGTGTGCACAGAACCAGCCCGACGCGAAGCTCTCCGAAGGTTTCAACGAAGTGCTGAGGTAGTGCAGGATGGCGAATGGCCTCTAGGCAGGAAGTTCACACGGGAGGACTGGGACATCGACCCACATCCACCCGACCAAGTTTCTTTAGCGCGGAAGTGTTATTCATATCAGAAGTGTAAAACCATTCAGTTCGACCTCTCCCTGTAGCTTCAGCGCTTGAGAACGGCCATGGAAGAGGGTGTTCCCACCACACAGATGGGCTAGACTGGGGACACGTGTGGCCTCCTTAAGCCAGCGGTTGTGATGTTATTAGTTAATTAGAATAAAGTTAATTTTGTCCAAGGGAAAAAAAATGAAAATAATTAAATTCAAAATGGTATATAATGTATACTTTTTCTAGGAAAATTTAATAAGACCCTATTGCAAAATTAATCGTTATAATTTAGCCAGGGCAAATGAGTTTTTAGTAAAAATACCAGTTAGTATGTTAAGGTGTAGAAATCTGTTTCAAGTAAAATGTCTGAAACCAAACATACCTACAGCCATCAGACATTAATTCTAAGGAGGAGAGATCATGGGGTTTGGAAAGTTTATTACATTGTATTTTCATAACACTACGTAATTTACAAAAGCACATTCTTACTGGCTATGTAATTGAAATCTACTACATCCCTTTGAATTATTAGGACATACTCTGTTAATGATTTTCCTCTCATTTTTGGAGTCTTTATTTTCCCATCTGACTATTAAAATAATGTATGCTTATCTAAATTTGCAAACTACCCAGAAAGCATAAGACATAAATTAAAAGCCACGTTCTTTCTCATCTCCCCTTGTAACTGCTGTCAGAATCTATCATTCTTCCTTTAAAATATTTTATATGCATATACATGTCCTATCTGACAGGACACTGAGCTCATTGTCACAGTGTACTGTACATACCCTTTACTCGTTTTCTATTACTATTTAATGGATTACCAGTATTTCAAGATCCACTCATTGTAAACTTACAAGTTCCTTTGAGGAATTAGGACAATTATGTCATTGTTATTTATTCCATCCCTTGCGTATATGAACATCTCCATTATCAATTGTTTTCTGAGTTGGAGGCATTACCCCCACAAACCTAACAATTACTCTGCTTTCTTACCATAGCATAATTCCTTGCTAATGCCAAGTAAAGATTATGGTACTATGGATTTTCCTGTAAGGAAAGGGAAGACTTTAAGATAACAGGAATACAGGGAAAAGGGGTGAGAAAAAAGCGTTTATACTGGCAGGGAAGTCTTGATCATGATCTTGAGAAAATCATTCACATCTCAAGTTCCTTCCATCAGCTACTGGGCAAAAACTTCCCTAGTTATCTTTACCTTATGGTCTCCAACATGTGGAGTGTTATTAGGAGCATGGTTCTTGCAGCTAATATTTCAAAAAGGGTCAACCTGTGTTTTCCAGTGAGAGTGGATCTGATTGCTATTAAAGTTAACGAGTATACCCTTAGAGAAGGTAATCCAGTTGATTCAATTAACAGTACCAGTTTCACTTTTGAAAGAGCCATTTGTCCTTTCAACCTTTCCAAATGCCTGGAGGCAATAGGAGTGATAGTAATGCCATCATGTGGGTAACATCTCATAGAGCTGCTTGACAATTTGTCCAGTTAATGGATTGCTTTGCTGCCAGAGATTTCTCCAGGAATGCCGCAGAAAAGAAACACATTTCTTAATAACTTCTGAGCTGCCATTACAACTTCTCAGCTGCCATTCCCTGCATTGAGAAAGCCTCCTTACAGGAAATAAGCAGACCATTAGAAGAACAAACTGACAGCCCACTGACAGTAACAGCTGAGTGAAGTCCATCTACAGATGATCAAAATATGAAAAAAACATGAGTTCCTTAAAACCAGCTGAAAATGTCAGGTGAAATATGATACCTAAGATTTTATCTTCCTAGGTCAGTGGTGGCGAACCTATGGCATGTGTGCCATGGTGAGCATGCAAAGCCCTCTCTGTGGGCATGTGAGCCAAGTTGCCCCAGCAGCTGAGCATGAATAACAGTTTTGTTTTGTTTTTTTTTCTAAACTAAAACCTCAATGTTCATATTTAGTTGCAGTCTTGACATTTTGTGATAAATAAGTGGGTTTTGGGTTGCAGTTTGGACACTCAGTTTCTGAAAAGTTCACCATCGCTCTTCCAGGATTATGAGTTTGGCAAACCTAATATTCATTATAAACCATGTTATCATTAAGAGCTGTCACCCCAGCAATTTAGATCATCTCGTCTCTGCGGTGACAAGTTTCAGGGTACAGAACTCTTAATAATGGGAGCTTCAGGGACTCAAGGAAGATCAGGTAGTTATCTAAGCCCTCTATGAGTCTGCACTCAGCACCAAATTTACTTCCTTTCAGATGCCAGCTTTGTTTTTCCAAGTCAGGTGTATTGCACTGATTATTAAATATGTCATCGAGGAGAGGTAACTTGCATCCATGTTATGGGGCTCACTCAAATTGCCTGTTCTCACAATTTTAGCACTAGGTGAAATAGCACTAGCATAAATATTTGCCAGGAATTTCCTTTATATTCAGGATCAGTTTTACAGCTAGAGGCTTCAGTCTTCATAATGACCATTTGTGACAGCCAAAGGATAGCAGATGGAGTGTTCTCATGTGGGGCTCCAGCTAGCAATGAGAAACACTTTGTTTCTATAACAAAATGACTGACTAGTTGAAAAGCATATATACTCTCTATATAAGTTTTTACTGATTAGGTAAATGACAGGCTTGAGTGACAGCCAGCTCTGAAGGTTGACCTGACTTGACTAGGGGAAGGGTTTCCTTTTCTACTGACGCACCTTGGTTATAGGAGCAGACCCTACCCATATTTTCCTTCTTAGTTTTTGTCATAAGCCCCATCAACAAAGTAATCCATGACTATCCAATGGAGCCTCTCACAAATCAACACAAGCAAGCCACTATTTCTGATCCTAAACTCACATGACTGTGGTTTTCTTCAGGTATAAGTAGTAGAGTAGCAAGGTTAAGTAAGTTCACAACATTTTAGACAGACATGAGAAAGAGGAGAATTTCACTTATGAGTATTAGGCTACTTGCTGAGAAATGTTAAGATTTACAGGAATTTAACAAATTTTCCACAGTGTGGAGGGTTTCCCAATAAAGTTACTTCCTTAAAACCAGCTCACATTAAACCTCTACCTACCGGGCTGCTACCACTGCTTTTAAATATTTAGGACATGCCTCAGCTTTTGGGTCTAATTGCAGGCTATAATATGCTACGAGCTTATGTTTTCCCAAGGTTCCTGGGTAAGAACCCTGAATGCCTGATTGTTACATTCATCCACAAACAAGGTAAAAGATTTAGCATAATTTGAAATCCCCAATGCTGAAGGCTGTTCTAAGGCCTGTTTCTTTTAGCGAAAGCTTGCTGATGACTGTCTTCCCAAGGTTCATGGCTCCGGAATGTCACTTCTAGCAAGCTTGTGTATTAGTGAGGGAAAAGTGGGGGACCCAGGACCTGCAGTGTCCTACAAATCCAAGAAAACATCTTAATTGTCTTTTGGGTGTAGGCCAGGGAAAACTGAATAGTTTTTATTCTCTCAAGTGGCAAGGAAATCTCTTCCACATTCAGGTCATGTCCTAAATAGTGAAACTCTTCCCTTGAAAACTGAAGATTTCCCATGGAAATCTTATAACCTTGTGTGCAACTTGCTGAAAAAGGCAGGTTGAGTTGATTTCAGAGCAGCGTTTATTGGGGGAGTATAATTTTTGATCATCTACATACTGAAGGAGAGCAGAATTTCAAAGAAACTGCAAAGTTGCTCAGTCCCAATGCAATGGCTATGAAAAACAAGGAGCTTCAGTGAGCCCTTGTGGCACTACAGCCCAGGTGGACTGTTGACATTTCCAGTACAAACAAACAAGCACTGACTCTCTTTCTCAACAGAAATTAAAGAAAGCTGAGCAAAGGTCTATTACTATGCACCCTTTCAGCTTTTTGGTCTGTGTATTTTATATTTTGGCTATTTTATTATTTTATTATTTTTTTATTATTTTATGCCAATATAGATGGTACAAATAAGTCTTCAGAGAAATAGTATGAATACCAAATGCAAACAATATTATAATATATATGATTTATGCTTCCATATTTAAAGCACAGATCACGATACAGATATTGGTATTGAAGAGAAGTTAGTTTATAGAATAGACATTGGAAATAATGTGGCATAACCTCACAAGGTACCTCAGTAGACACAGAGTAATTTTCCATTATTAGGACTCTCTCATGACAGCTTCTGCTTCCTCTGATGGCTGTTTTCGGCTCTCTCCCTCTGCTTTCTGTGTGAGTGTGTGTGTGTGTGTGTGTGTGTGTGTGTGTATTCAATTGCTGATCATGAGAAATAGCTTTGTAAGTTTCAGTCCTTGGGTTTTTAGAAATTCTTTGTTAAATGTTTTTCAGGAATGGGTCTAATTTTTAGCTTAAAGAGGAACAAATAAATAACTCTTCTAGCAGAGTGGTGGTGAATGCCTCGTACCCCAGTACTCTGGGAGC